GGCGTGATGGCATCTCCTTGGCGAACACCTCGATGGATTCTAATGAGTGATGGTTAGCTGAACCGCTTGATGCAGCTTGTGCAACTAGTGTCCATTACTTCGACCAGGCTGACGTATACAAGATTTATGCCATGTCAGTGCAAGGCGCTTCACACAGCCTTCGACTCAATCGAATCGAAAGCCAGCGTGTAGGCGATGAAAGCAAAACACAGTGGCGCCTGATATTCGTTGAGATCTTTCGTCAGCTGTTGGACCACGTGCCAGTGATTGATGATAGACAACCGGCTAGTTCCCAGCTTGGACTAATTCGAGGTACCTCCAAATACGGTTAAAAACGATGCGATTGAAGACTGTAGATTTGCACAGGAGTATAATTGATCGATAGTTCATAACGCTTTGACAGAGGGGTACAACTCCTCCAAGACCTGATTTCGCGACCTATTATATGGCCACCATTTCATAGAATAATCAACACTCAGAAATACGCGTGCGTGTTTAAACGCGTGTGGATGAGTAGACTGTAATCGGCAGAAAAAAATTATCAACCCCAAACGACGTACAAAATTCTGACTTTAATATTCGCGATGGTTGAGGTAATTGTGCACCTCTGAGAATCACAACGTCGTTTACGACCAATCGACAGATCATGGAAAATTCAAAACCAGTTGTCGACGTCATAATCGTTTCCGAACGGTTGTTAAAAGTAAGTGCTTATGCAAAAACTGTAAACTTACTGAAATCAATTAATGCCAATTTCTGCAATCAATCCACAGAAAATTCAAACGGAAGCAAATCTGTAGACAATGATTAACTCAACAGCCCGTTGGCTCATTCGTTTGTAATGTCTGTCGGTATTTGAGTGAAGCGAGAGACTACTGCGGAGCGTTTTCCGGTCATTCCGGCTTCCGCAAATCAGATCGGCTCCGTGAGGTACATTTCAAGGCGGGAAAGCCTCATTCCCAAAGTCACATTCGAACAGTCTAGTCCTTGACCTGCCCTTCGCCGTATTTCTTGAAGCCTTGTCTATTGAGTCCGTCGCATGAATTTCAACGGTTTACACCATCATAACTGTGACTTAGTAATTTGGAAAAGGAACGGTTCCCAGGCGAGGGTACAACGTATGGCCGTTTACGACTTCTTCGCCCAGTATTTCTTCGAAGATATCTCATAACTGGTGTTTGTGTCCGGGATAGCACAATTTTGGTCAGTATCCAAAATTCATGATCATATATGAGGATGGTTACTTAAGCAGAGTTGAGAAAAGGCTCTATAGATATAGGTTGATCTCATGCCTTACTATGCTCGCTTGATCGAATCGTTTTGTCTGTATTAACTTTTGTTTGCCATCAATGGTGAATGCCACCCTGAGATACTAAGACTTCTCCAACTGTTGCGGTTGCAATCCACTAGCAACGAAACGCACTGAACGACTTGTCTCTGGGGAGTAGATACCTTTAATCTTTCATTTAGGCCCCATTGCATGCATCAGGGAACTGATCAGTTACACCCAGGAGGCAATCACTGGAGGAAAAGAATAGACAGAAAAGATTAAGAGAAAAACTGGGAGACTCAGAAGGACCTGTCGAACTATGCTATTCACATTCGTAACTACCGTCTACTCATCCCTCCATAAAAATTATGAGCAGGAGAGAAGAAAACACACATACTCGTGAAAAATACCACTCATCTTGAAATGCATCGCTTTATTACCATTAATGCGGACTCAGCTGTCCAGGCAACTGTTTGAGGCTTGGTGGTATCCGCCCAAACAACCACTGTCCTCCTCTCGCGGTTTACGTATTTTTCGTAGCCTTTTCCGGGTTTAGGGAGCAGATATGAGAAAGTTCTGAGCATATTCCCAACAATTTCGCACACGCAGCATAGAGCAAAGATTTATCGCTAGGAGAAGCCAGACGGCATTCTGGTTTTGAAACTATCGACTCCTGCGCAGCCCAACCACATTCATAAAACTTCATCAACAACCTGCATTGAAGGAAGCCGAGAAACACGGGCTACAATGTCGGTATTAGTCAGTCACCAGACTGTGACCAGTGACCGGAGTATCTTTCGCGTTGTGTATAAGTAAACCGTATTTGACGTTACTTTTTTAGTATGACCACCAACGCACGAACGAATTACTCTAGTCAGTACATATTGCTCTCATGATTCAAGGAGGTTATGATTTGAGGTCAGATTTCGTTTCGCCCAACAGCTCTACCACTCTACCACAGATTTAATTAGTTCTGTCCCCTCGATCATCTTCAGACAATTTTTCATCCTAAAATTTACTTATTAAGAGAAGTGCAAAGACCTGTAGAAACCAGATCCTACTTAAACGGCCCCACAGACAATTACAGTTAAGAGAACGACGACGCATTTGAGCGCATGGATGGAAGACCGCATGAATATGTCAGGCCGATGAAAGACGCATTCGAACATCAACGAAAATGCGTTAACAGCTGATAGAAATGGGACAGTGGTAGTTAGTCATGCAAATCTGGTTAATCGACACTAACTTGCTCCCATCGGATGCATGTAAAATTATCACCATGTCAGTTGACCCCAAAAAATTATTGGGG